GACGTGGTCGAGGCCATCAAGGACCACAACGCCGAGACGGACGACGACGACGCGGTCGTCGAGACGCCGCTCGACATTCTCAGCGTCGACGACAGCGTCCGAGCCAAGCTGCTTCCGTTCTCGACGTCCAAGATGGCGCAGGTCGCTGCCTTCTGCAATGCGTACCCGGACGTGGCTCTGGAGAGCGAGATTGAGGACCCGACCGAGATTACGACCGGCGACGCGATCACCGTCAACGTGTCGCTGACGCGCGAAGGTGCCGACGACGACGAGGACGGCGACCAAGACCAAGACGCGACCGTCGGGCAGGTCCAGGCGCAGTTTTACCCCGGCCAAAAGGTGGAAAACTGGTGGGTTGTGGTCGGCGACCCGGCGACCAACGCGCTCGTGAGCATCAAGCGCATCCCGCTGCAGCAAAAGGCGGCGATGCGCGTCGAGTTTGCGGCGCCGACGACGCCCGGCACGTACAAGTACACGCTGTACGTCATTTGCGACTCGTACCTCGGCTGCGACCTCGAGAACCAACTCGAGTTTACGGTCGCCCAGGGCCGCGACACGTCCGGCGACGACGACGACGACGAGTCGGCCGAGGAGTAAGCCTTTGGTATATACTAATACATAATGATTCTTGGTGACTTGTGTGCTTGAGAGGAGGCAGATATGTCCTAAGCAGCGAGACGCTTGCCAAGTTTAGAGATCAACGATTCGAGAAACAAAGTCGGAGCCTGACGAAGACCTTGTGTATTTTTCACGCATTTACCACGCTACAGGGACGCGTTTCCCACCTTCCTCACCTGGGACCAACCAAAGGGCTGAGCTCGACACGGGCTGGGTATTTGCTTTCCCACTGCCGATACGACGCACAGCCAGGGATCGCCGGCAATGATCAATGCCAACTCGAATGGACTTTTTGATTGGCCAATACAAGGAATATTGTTAGCCAATCAGAAACAGCCACCGACGGCGCCCGGTTCCGCGCCGAGAAGCGCGAGCGACCAAAACTGCGTCTCGAAATGAAATCGCTCATACTTGGCGAATGGATTTAGCAGTATGTAGAGTCCCCAGAACGCCGAGTCTCGCGGTCGTGCGATGTCTGAAGAAGGAGAAACGTGAGGAGCAAGATCGTGCCCATGTGCCCGTTGTTGGCCCATTTCTCCCGCTGTAGACATCGCACGACCGCGAGACTCGGCGTTCTGGGGTCTCTACAGACTGCTAAATCCATTCGCCAAGTATGAGCGATTTCATTTCGAGGCGCAATTTTGGTCGCTCGCGCTTCTCGGCTCGTTGCCGGGCGCATGCGCCGTCGGTAGTAGCTGTTTCTGATTGGCTAACAATATTCGTTGTATTGGCCAATCAAAAGGATTCAATAAAAGTGAATGTAGGCTTGCCGCACCTCGCTTTGTGCCCATATCGATCATCTGATTCATGGAGGCCAACAAGATAATATGAATCACGCTGGATGACGCCACGTGCAACCCTCTCCATTATGTACCAGGGCGATTCAGGTCTCTCTAATCTAGATCATATATTATTTTAGATGAATTATATTTATTAGCACAGTCTCGAACCACAAGAAGCGCTATTGGTTTAGTGGTAAAATATCTCGTTGCCATCGAGATGCCCCGGGTTCGATTCCCGGATGGCGCATATTTTTTCGTACAATTGCATGTTGAGTTCGGCCTCTGAATTACTCTGTTGCACGACCGGTTCCACCGTGCTTGTTCGATGACAAATTGGTACAAGAAAAGCTTGTGTCTTATTTGGTGTCTCTATTGCGAATGCAAACGAGCGATGGTTGGTCGCGGCTCTGTTTATCACAGGTGATAAATGTGTGTTGAAGTGTGACACGGTCTCTTATGGATTGAGCACAAAACACACACGTGGTAAATGCGTGAAAAACACCCCGCTGTGACGTGGCACGCGGAGAAGGCAGTTTCCCTCAATGTCTGTGCTCGCGCAAAAACGATACTCCGGGCCTTTACAAGTCAGCAGTAGGAGGTGAAATATATTTTTCCTTTCAAGGGCTTTGGTTGCACAGCCCCGCGTCGTACAGCATGGTGGTCGTCCTGTCGGCTACGAACGGTGAAACTCGTGTGGCTGACGTTCTCCTTCTCGGTCTTGGCTGGACGACCAAGGTTAATGCAAGAAGGTACCTTCTATAGAGCGACCCTAGCGTCCCATTCAGCGTCCACCACTCTGTTCAAATACTGAGATCAAGATGTTATGCTTGTGTATCCACTGGGCCCTTGATCTCGGCGACGTCGCGAGTAGAGCGGACGCGCAGCGCCGATATACTGTGATCTGGTTCGCTATCAGCGCCACTGGTAAAATGCAACTAGATGTTGCCAGAAGCTGTTGCTAGGGCGACCAATTGCTCATGACGGAGCAATTGGTCGCCCTAGGCATGTTCCATCTACACACTATTCTCGTTCGTCTCGGACACTATTGGACTGCACCGTTGCCTCGAAATAGTCTATGACACGAAGTTTGAACGTAACTTCGAAAGCAGCGATGGCCGACCCAAGCCACTCGGACAGCGGCGACTCGTCGTATGGCGAGTACGCACTGCATGACGCGGTCGAGCGCGGTGACCTGGACGCGGTGCAGACGGCTCTGGATGACGACGACGAGGCCTTCTTCACGGCGCTGCGCGAACCCGATGACATGGGCAACACGCCGTTGCACACGGCCGTCTTGCACCCGACCGACGCGATGCTTGCGTTCCTCTGGGGCTTTGGCCACGACAAGCTCTCGGTCGACTCGCTCTGCAACGGTGTCCCGCTTCTGCACTTGTGCCTGCGCATGGCGGCCTTTCCCGAGCACCGCGAGCGCATGCTCGCCTTTTTGCGCACGCTCGTGGCCGACGCCGCCTTCATGGCCGACCACCGACTCCTCGAGAAGGACGACATGGGCAACACGGTCTTCCATCTCGCCGCCGCCGTGGATCTGCCGGCCGCGATCGATCTCTTCCACGGCGCCTTCAGCGAGCCCGACGTGCCACTGACAGTGCTCCTCGAGACCAAGAACCGCGCCGGCAACCGTGTTCTGCACGTCGCTGCCAAGTATAAGAGCGCGCAGGCCGCAGTGTGTCTCGTCGAGCTGGGTGCCGACATCTTTGCGACCAACTCGTACGGCCAAGCGCCCTTGCATCTGGCCGCGGCGCTTCAGGACGAAGCGACGCTGATGGCGCTGTCCGCCGACTGGAAGAGTCTCTCGTGCAAGGACGGTCTTGGGCGGTCCCCACTCGATATCGTCTCTGGCATCTCGACGCCGGCGCTGCCGATCTCGACGTTCCTCTTCCACCCGGACGCGATGGAGCACTTGCCGCTCGCCGGGCACATTCGGGGCGGAACCGAGCCGCCGCCGGAAAACTACGAGCGCATGAAGACGCTTGTGACGCCGGGCCTCGGCATCCTCCGCACGGCGCCGTTCGCCGCGGTGCATTGGGCGCACGACATTCCAGTCGCCGACGCCGCCGACGTCCTCCGCGTCCACGAGGTGGCGTACATTGAGAAGCTCAAGACCATGTGCGCTCGCATTCCGCACCACACCAAGCTCGTACCCTTTTCTCTTCTTTCGTCGCTGGTTTCTTACTCTGGTTCGTAGACCAAGGCGCAGATGGACGAGTACGCCCAGTACTGCATTGACCCTGACACGGCCTTGTCGCAGCAGTCGTACTTGGCCGCGACCCGGGCTGCCGGCGTCGTGTGCGCGGCCGTCGACAAGGTCGTCCGCGGTGAGACGCGCAATGCGTTTTGCGTCGTCCGGCCGCCGGGGCACCACGCGGGGCCCGTCGGGAAGGTCGTGTGCCCGCACGACCCGGTGGGCAGCCAGGGCTTTTGCCTCTTGAACAACGTCGTCATTGGCGCGGCGTATGCGCGCAGCCACTTCAAGCACCAAGGCATCCACAAGATTGCGATTCTCGACTTTGACGTGCACCACGGCAACGGCTCGGAAGAGTGTCTCAAGCAGCTCAAGCCGCGCACCAAGACCTTCCCGCTCGAGACGCCGTACGGCAGTAGCTCGCAGACGGTCCACATGTACAAGCCGTGGCGCAACGAGGACGATGCCGACAATGTGTTCTTTTGCTCCGTGCACGGCTACGGCAAGAAGGACCCAAAGCTGGAGCTCGACGCGTCGTTCAACAAGGCGTGGTTTTATCCGGGCTCGGGCGCGACGAACGTGCCCGACTGCGAGCACGACCACGGCGAGCCGCCCGAGGAGGACGAGGCCGACTACCCGCTGCTCTGGAACATTGGTCTGCCGTACCAGAAGGGCCACCAGGCGCGACAGGAGTGGCGGCGCGTCTTCCGCACCAAAGTGCTACCCCACGTTATGGCGTTCAAACCCGACTTGATCTTTCTCTCGGCCGGTTTTGACGGCCACAAGGCCGAGCTCGTCAACTGGGGCTACCTCGGCCTCCTCGAGCACGACTACGAGTGGCTCACGCAGTCGGTCGTCAAGGTCGCCAACGCGGTTTGCGGCGGCCGCGTCGTCTCGGTGCTTGAAGGCGGCTACAACTTTCACGGCCGCATCGCCTCGTCCTTTGCCCGCAGGTAGCCACTCCGCGTTCATTGTAGATTTGATACATTGAAACGTAGTGTCGCAGCCCACGCCCGCGCGCTCGTGGCCGGCGCAGAGTCGGACGAGCCGTGGTCGGACGCGGCCATGGCGCACGAGATGCACTGCGAAGACACGTTGATTCTCGAGGCGGCGCAAAAGAAGGCCCGAGGTAGAACTTGCATCATTCACTGTATTTTCCACTGGAATAATCTTGTGTAGCGGCCTTCCGCAAGTCGCTGGACGTCAAGCCGCCAAGTGATGAGGCCGCCGCAGGCGAAGCGACCGCGGTACCCGTGCGCGCGACGAAGCGGGCGCGCAAGGACGTTGATTACGTGGCACTCGCTGCGCAGCTGGCGTCCGAAAAGACGTCGTAGTAGTACTTACGTCGTGATTGTAACCCTACACCCGACTAAAGTGTCCACAGCAATCGAAATTACACGTGGCGAAAATGTCAAAATTTGAATATCAAAATATCAAGTGACTAGAGCAGGGCCATGTATGCGCTTTCGTCAGCCTCACATGCCGCTTGGCGGTGGCGCACAGTGACTGCAACGGCGACGGCTGCACAAACGAGAAAGCCGGCGGCCATGGGATGCCACACGCTTTGCTGCTCGATCGCGAGGGCGTCGCGGGCGATGACCGAGGCGGACGTCGGTCGGCATTGCTTGATGCTCGGGTGCGATTTCAGCGATTGGCAGGCGAACGTAGAGACTGCGCTGTTGCAACAACCGATGTCCTTCGCCGGCGTCAAGAGCACTGTGCTCTGAGCGTCCGGTGTGTCGGGGAACACGAGATGGCCGCCGCACGCCTGCGCCGGTGCGGGCTCCCGGCGGTGATCGAGTTCCCACGACGCGCTGCAGTTGTCCTTGACGAACGCCAGCGCGTGCGAGTCGTCGAAGCGCGGGCGGTCGCAGTTTTGCATGTCGACGCTGAGCGACCGCGTTTTCGAGACGACCGGCTCGCCCATGTTGGGCTGGAACTCAAAGGTGCAGGCGACGATGATCGTTGTCGTCGGCCGGTTGAGCAGTTTGATCGCAAACGCCGTGTCAATGGCTGCGTTCACCGGTATGCTCCAGTTGGCCATCGTCGCGTTCGGATACTGCCACGCGCAGTTGATGCCAAGTAAAGTGTACTTGGGCGTCGCGGCCTCGAGCAGCTTGCTGCCGCACCACACGGCGCCTCGGCGCTTGGCGCAGTCGCCGGGCAAAGCGGATGGGTCGCACACACTGTCGGCAAGACACCCGCGCGCACACGACTGTAAGCGATTCGTGCTCGGACAGCGGTACTCACAGCGCGGTGGCTGGCTGCTGCTGGGCTTTTTCGTGCTCGGTGCTTTGGTGGATGGCTCTAGCATCGCCTTGTGCAGCGCGCTGTTTGGGTCGAGCCGGAAGCGGCAGACGCCAAAGTCAGCACCAGGTTCGTTGCAGGCGCTGCAGCTCCAGAGACTGTTCCACCACGCGTCAATGCTAATGGCCTCGGACCGGTGCGAGAAGACCGTCCACGTCACGTCGCTCGACACTTGGCCGCACGCCGTCATGGCCCGAAACGTGAGCGTATCTCGAAACTTGCTAAACGTCAGCGCCTTCGAGTCGTCGACCGCGACCCACCGATCGCCCTGCTGCACAAACCACGTGACAAGACTCGCGGCCGAGTCCAAGCCCCACGGCTGCGATGGCGCCAAGGTCGTTGAAAAGGCAAAGAGGTCGCTCACGCGCCAGTGCAGCACGTCGTCACAGTACGACGCAAACGACGCATTCGAGTGGTAGCACGGAATCGTTAAATGCAAGTGGCGCGCCGACGGCGGAAGGTACCCGGCGCCTGGAAACGCCGCCTCGGGGTCAAGCAGGTGCGGTCCGGTGGGCTGGAGCGACACGGTTGCGCACGATACGAGGTCGCTGCTCGGCAGCACGAGCGACTGCGTGAGGCTGCAGCTCTCGGACGCGTCGCCAGCGCAAATGGGCGTTGGCACCACCTTGGCGTTGCAGGTGAACGGCGTGTAGAGCTCCTGGAGACCGACAAAGTAGGCGCACGTACGCTTGCACACGCGTGCGTCCGTCACATAGGCAAGTGGCGTCGTGAGCCGCTGGCGCTCGCGGTCCGAGAGCGGCGCGCGGAGGCACCCGAGCCAGCCGTCGGGGGTTGCGTCCACGGCCGAGCCTGCCCCATCCAGCACGGACGTCGGGAACGCGCTAAGGAAGCTCGTTTGTGTGACGCGCACCGTGTCACACCGGCGACCGCTGCACGCGTCGTTGTTGGCGGCCGTGCGCCGGTATGCGAGCAGCTGAAGCACTTGGTCGTCGGCGGCTTGGAGTGCGTCGACCGAGTAGTTGCGCGTCATCGTCGCGCCGCAGAGACCGTCGCGCGGGAGGACGGCGTACGGCCGCACGTAGTCGGTGACGGCCAAACACGACGTACAAGGCGGGGACGCTTGGTTCTTCTTGGTGTAGTCGAACGCTTGCACGGCGTAGGTGTAGACGCCCGGCGCGTCCGGGAGTGCTCGGTACAGGAGGTCGCCGCCAGTCGACTCGAACGTCTCGTAGTCGTACGCCAGCACCGTCGAGTTGGTCTCTCGGTCCGACCACTGCGCCGTGATGCGTGGACCGACCACCGGCGGGTCGAGATCGTAGTTGTAGCTGCTGCGCGGGTACGGAAACTCGAGCGGCGCGCCGACGCCGTAGACGTTGGGAAAGCACTGGCGCGGCCCCGGCAGCGCCGTCGTGAGGTTGTAGCTGTACGCGTGGGTGGCGCCGCCCCAGCTGCACGCCGCCGTCGGAGTCGAGGACGGGCGGGGCGGCGAGGACAGGCGCGGTGTCGAGGACGGACGTGGGGTGTATCGCTGCGCCGCCGCGACGACCGTCACGACGGCGGTCGCTCGAACGACCCGACGCATGTTTGGATATGGCTCGCGATAGCATGTTGGGTGCTGTGATGTTCGACCCGAAGACGCCAAAAATCGAAGCGTTCGAAGTTTACATGTTGGCGGTTATCCAAGGACTGGGGCATCAAATTGGTCGAGCTGGAGGAGGGACTCTTTGAGCTGCGTGAGCTGGAGCCGATAGCCGCGCGACTCGGCCTGCAATCGCGCGTTCTCTGCGCGGAGCATGCGCACTTCCTTGACAAGTACTTTCTTCTGGCTCTAGGAATACAAAATATGCACAAGTTGTCGATAGCGTTGCCGACTACCTTGGCCTGGAGGTCGAGGTCTCGCTTCTCAGCCGTCACGTGGCGCAGCATGTCGTCGAGGACCTGCAATGCCGTCAAGGAGCTGCGGGGAGAGCTGGACGCAAGGATGATGTACCTGCGTCTTGGCACTGTGCTGGCGCTGGACGCGCTCGAGCTCGGCGCGGTACTCGTCGGTCTGCGCGACGTGCACGCTGAGCTCGTCCTCAAGCTCCTGCACTTTGACGTCGAGGTACGCTAGCACCTCGCGGTCCAAGCTCGACTGCGCACCGGCCTTGGCCTGCAGATATATGAGTCGACGCCATTAAGATGGGCATACCGTCTCCTCCATCGAGGTCGCCAGCGCTTCTTCGAGGTCCTACACGCACACTGATGGCGTGCCCACGTAGCCTTCGCCGCACCTTGAGCTTGTCCATGAGGAAGTCCCGGACCTTCTCCGCGCCGTGGAGGCGCGCACCAATGTCCTCTTTCTCGACTTCGACCTGCGTGAGCGACGCTTCGAGCTGCTTCATGCGCAGCATGAGATCGCGAAAGAACTTGACTTCGCGGTTGCTCAGCGACTGCAGGATCTCGTCGGCCTTAGCGAGCTACAACATATAAGCACCTCTTCCTAGCGATGCATGTACCTGGGTCTTGTCGAAGACGGACGAGGGTTTTCGCCGGATCGGGGTCGGCGGTGGCGTCACCTTGGGCGCCATCGGCGCTTGCACGCCAAAGAGCACCTGCGGGACGCTGAGGGTAGACCCTCGTAGTTGCAGACGTACCGACACGCGCGTCTTCCATACCTGCCCCGTCATGCTTACGCGCAAAACGTCATGGGCAGTAAGGTAGGCAAAGACGCCCATGACCACCTTGTCCGGGCAGTTGGCCAACGCATCCGAGGCCACACGCGCAGCCGAGACCCTCTAGGGCGTCACTTGCATAGAGTAAATACGAGCGCTACGAACGTACGTGGCGTGCAGGTGCGGCATGGAGGAGGTTGTGGATGCCCTGCTTCCGGTGCAAGTCGCGGATTTCGCGCTGGGCACGTGCGAGCTCCCTTGTCAGCGAGCCCATGGAAGCAAGCTTCTCGTTCGCTTCGTCCAGCTCTCGCTCGAGGCTACAATAGGAGGTGAGAAGCCTCGAAGCAGATAGCGAACGCAGGCGTACGCTTCATGGCGAGCAGCGTCGAGGGCCACGTGCTCGACCTGCGTCATGAGCTTCGTCGCGAGCGCCTTGCCTTGAAGGCGAAAGGCGTGCATCTGCTGCACCATCTAGGACGCTAGCATGAGCTACGTGCCGAAGGAGCGCGCTGTACCTTTTGCTTCTCGTCCCACTCGACGCGCTCGCGGACGGCCGACTGCGCCAGGAGCGCCTTGCAGCGGTGCATCTCCTTGGCCATGTGGCTGCGCTCGACCTCGAGGTCCCATACCTCGACGTCGTTGACCATCTCTTCCAGGACGCTCTGGACGGTCATGACGACGACGATGTCATCGACGGCCGCGCCTGCTCGCCCGCGGACGTACGCTTCGACGGCGCTCTCCATGCTGCGGATCCTCCGATGCCGGCGTTTGATTTGCCGAAATGTCTATATTTTGCGCGAATCAAACGGCGCCAATCTGGGCGGCTCGTCCTATGGCATCTGCCGAATATAATAACTAGCAATTCGGCACGAGATCCCATGACCAAGCAGGTGCCGGTGACGGTGCTCACGGGCTTCCTCGGCGCGGGCAAGACGACGCTGCTCAACTACATCTTGACGCAGAACCACGGCAAGCGTATCGCGGTCATCGAGAACGAGTTCGGCGAAGAGATCGGCGTCGAGAGCCTCATTGCGCGGGTACACTCTGCCAACAACACGCATGGCTCACGACCGGCTAGGACGGCGCCGATGGCGAGACGTTCGCCGACTTCTACGAGCTCAACAATGGCTGCATCTGCTGCGCCGTGCGCGACGACCTGGTCTCGACGCTGGAAGAGCTCCTCACTCGGCGGGATCGCTTCGACTACGTGCTCGTCGAGACCACCGGTACGCGTTCACTCTGCGGCAGCATGAACTGGACGCGATATGCGATAGGCATGGCGGACCCTGGCAAGCTCGCGTCCATCTTCTGGGTCGACACGGAGCTCGAAGGCCGCATCGTACTGGATGGCATCGTTACGGTCGTGGACGCCAAGAACGTCGCGTTGCACCTCGATGGCGACGAGCACGGCCAACGCCAAGAGGCGCTGTCGCAGATCGCGTACGCGGATCGCATTCTCATCAACAAGGCCGACCTCGTACCGTCCATGACGGACCGCGACGCGCTCGAGGCGCAGCTCCATGGCATCAACGCCATCGCGCCCCTCATGTACGCAGCCCATTCCGCCATCATATTGTGCTCATGGTTGCATGTAGCTGGACGGAGCGATCGCAAATCGACTTGGACGCGATTCTGAACGTTCAAGCCTTCTCGTCCGAGCGCGCGCTCGACGTCGAGCGGTTCTTGGCGGCGACGAACCAGGTCAACGGTGTCTTTGCGTCTCTTCTGCAACGGTATGCTGTGTAGACGGTGAGCAGCGACCACGCGCGCCAAGTGAGCACGTACTGCATTCGGAGCGACGCGTCAGTGACAATCGCCGCGATGGAGCGCTGGCTGGGCAGCCTCTTGTGGGAGTCGGAGGAGTCGAGCCACTACTACCGCATCAAGGGCATCGTCTCCGTCGTCGACGACGACCGCAAGTTCATTCTGCAAGGCGTCCAAGACCTCTTTGAGCTCACGCCAAGCGAGCCTTGGGCCGTCGACGAGCCGCGCGTCACCAAGATCATCTTTATCGGTCTCGAGCTCCAGCCCGAGATGCTCGAGGCGGGCTTGCTGTCGGCGTCGCAAGAGTCGGACTAAGACCTCAATGTAACATTACTTGAGCTAAAATTAACCGCAAGATGCCGCAGCGGCCCGTGGCGTACACGGCCAACTACGAGTGCCCGGATGAGAACTACATTGCGACGCAGGAGCGGCAGCACATGGACGACGTCCACGATCAGCACCTGCGCGAGATGCGTCCGATGATCTCCAAGGAGCTGACGCATGACTTTGTCAAGCCAGACGCGCCCAACAAGAAGCGGCTCGCGCTCGAGCACGGTGGACACCACTCGGTTGTCTCTGCGACTGACACGAAGTAGAGCGCCAAATGGAGATTTCGCTCGAAAACAACATTTTGATCGACAAGATGCAGCGCATTCTATCGCGGAAGGAGCGACTTGGCCACTTTCCCGAGCTGCAAAAGGCGTCGGCACCCAAACCGACCAACGCCCCCATGCGGGAGCGCGTCCAGAGCCAGATCAAGAGCGAGAACGCCGCAATGAAGAGCCACCTCGCCCACGTCAAGGGCACGTACAACGTCGCCACGTGGGCCAAAGGTACTAGCAGCGTCCTACTAAGACTAAGTCAACAACTAGAAGCGGAGCAGACCGACAGGTTGGTGCAGCAAATTTCCAAAGTACCGCGGCGCGCCAAGACCAAGCAGCGCCGAAAGCGGCAGCCGAGTCCCGACGAGTCCAAGCTGCAGGAGTTTGAGTTCCTCGTGCTCACCAAGACGGACACGGGGCTGCCGATGCGCACGGCCAAAGAGATCCGCGCCCACATCCACGCCAAACTGCCCTCGATCCACCAAAGAGCAGCGCTGTACATGCCATCGCGACCGGACCCGTTTGAGATCCCTCGACGACCGTTCGAGTAGCTTATGGACCCTTATTTAACACCATCTAGCGGCGCGTCTTGGCCTTCTTGGCCACCGGCTTCTCTTCGTCGTCGTCATTCGACAGGAGGTGCGCCGTGCTGGGGCTCGCCTGCGCGAGGTCGATGCGCTCGTCCGTCGGGATGTAGGCGTAGATACCATCTAGTGCATACATTATGTTTGGCCGTCGGCCGAACAAACGCATACCGTCCATGATGCACGTCTTGGTGCGCTTCCAGACCGTGAGCGTGTCGATGCTCGAGTGCCACGACGGCAGCGGCACCTGCAGCACCTTGTGGAAGACCGCCGAGAGTCGCGTCTGGAACTCGGGCGCCGACGTCCGGCCCCACGGCTCGGGCAGGCACACGGTTTGCCCGAGCCACTCGCCAATGTGAATGATCGTGTCGCCCGTAAAGTAGTTGAGGCACTCGTTCGCCATCGACTCCTCGCTGTCCTCAAAGTCATCGGGGTAGCAGAGCAGAAGCGTGCGCTTCGAGTGCTTCTTGAGGACCTGTCCACCCAAATCGTATCCTATCTCTCTTGCATTGGACAAACTACCTTGGGGGTACCCTGCTGGACGTTCAGCCACGTCATGCGCTCCTCGGCCTCTTCTTCGTCGTCGTCGGACGAGTCTTGCTTGGCCGACGCCGTCCCGGGCACATGCAAGTCGAAGCACTTGACGTCAACGCCACGCAGCTGCAGCAAACGGCCCCAGTAGCCGCTGCCCGCGCCCATTTCGACGATCTAGGACGCCATGAGCCACATTCAAACCAAGTTGTCGTCGTACCGGTCCGTAATGCTTGATGATGCGGAGAGCGCGCTCGTCCGGGATAGCCCACGAGTACTTCTAGTCTCTCGCAGTATATGAGATGACGCTAGAGCACATGGTCGTACGGCAGCGACGTTTTCGTCGAGGAGGTTGAAGAGCTCTTCGCGCGTCTCGTCGTCGAGCTCCGGGTCGAAGAGGCGCGCCATCTCCTTGGGCTGCTTGGCCTCAAAGTCGCGGTAGAAGTCGAGGTACGGGTTGCTCGTGGCCGTCAGTGTCGCGCTCTCGGGGTATACCTTGCTCATGTTCGCCGTCTGCCTACGCACGCTTGCTCATCGCCTGCTCGGTTCAGTGCTTGCTCCGTGTCTACCTCGTCGCTGCAATGGCCCCGATTCTATTGGATCTGCGTTCACGCCATTGTATTGGCCATAATGCTGTCTCTTTCAGCCAATCCAGTGCGCTGCGGCATTGGATTCGTCCAAATCGCATTGGCCAATCCGATGCGTCCAGTGGGGTGTCGCCCCTATAAGCACCTGTCCCATGACTAGGAATTTGTATGCGTGTGCTCGGACTTGAAGCCGGACCATCTTGGTGCCAGTGTCCACAAGCGCCATTTGCCATTTCGCCGCATGCTGCGCCTGCTCCTGCTCGGCGCCGCCGCCGCTTTGGGCCTCGAGCTCCAGGTCTGCCACGTCACGCTGCATAGCACGTACAACGCCCGCGCTAGGTGCCCTCGGTGCTCCTGACGAGCGTACCCTTCACGGCCAGAATGACGTTGCCAGGTGCCGAGATATCGTCGCGCGCACCCATTTGAGCGTCGTCGTGTAGCGGGTTCGTATCCGACGTTGCTCGAATATACGATCGAAGACCAAGCCGGCGCGTACCTCGCGTCCGGTGTCTGGAACGCTTCACTGACGCTCACCAAGACGCCGACGCTCGCCCTCGACGCCTCTGGTACGTACCGTACGTGCCCATGGCCCGACGCTCCTTTTTTGCAGGCGCCAACGTCTTGCGCTGCCACGTGTGGTCAAACGTAACGAGCATCACGGCGACGCGCGACGTGTGGAGCTTTCCCGGCTACGTCTCGCTTCTCCCGCCGTTCATCACGCTCCTCTGCTCGCTCCTCATGGGGTACCTCTGCGTCTGCGCCTTGCCTTGCGTATCCGTGTTGTGCGTATAGGCAAGTCATGATTGCGCTGCTCGTGGGCATTTGGTCGGGCGCGGCGCTCGTCTCGGGGGTACGTTGAAGACCGCCTGCAGATTCCTAAGCATTGACTCCAGGGGAATCTCTGGCTCGGGTTCCTGCACACGTTTGACGTCTACTGGGTCGACGCGTTCGTGGACCGCAGCCACGCCGGCGTGCTCCTCTTCACCATCATCCTCGGCGGCACGATCGGCGTCGTCCAGAAAGGCGGCGGCGCGCACGGCCTCGCGCACCTCGCGGCGTCGGCGATGCGCACGTCGTTCCGGATGCAGCTCTCGACGTGGGTGCTCTGCTGCTGCCTCTTCTTTGACGACTACTCGATGATCCTCATTCTGGGCTCGAGTCTGCGCCAAATTTTGCCGCGCACGGGCGTCAGCAAGGAAAAGTTTGCGGCCATCATCCACACGATGGGCGTCTGCCTCCCGTCCATGGGTACCGCCTTCCTCTCTACCACCAAGACTCATATTTGGTACAGCGCCCGTGAGCTCGTGGATCGGCGTCGAGATTGGGTACGTGGCTGCCGTGCTCACGTCGCTCAACTTGGACTGGGATCCGTTCGTGACGTGCCTCTCGAGCCTCCAGTACCGGCTCTTCCCCGTGCTCTTCATCGCCTTCATCTTCATTATCATCATCTTCGAAAAAGACTTTGGCCCGATGCTCAAGTACGAGCGTGCGATGGCCGAGGCCGCTGACGACGCGGGCGTCGACGAACTGGAGACCGACCAGCCCGACACCAACGACACCAATAATGACGAGGACGACGAGAAGCCACTTGGCCCCATGGTGCCCAACCCGCGCAAGCCGATGCGGGCGCTCAACGCTGTCGTGCCCTTCGCCATCATCGTGGCCGCGACCTTTGTGGGCATGATCCTCGACGGCTTCCAGTCGCTCGCGGCCGAGTTCCCCGGCGAGTCGTTCGGCGTCCTCGACGCGCTCAGCCACAGCGACAGCGTCGCCGCGCTCATTCGCGCCTCGGCGCTCGGCTGGGTCGTCGCCGTTCTCTTGCTTCTCGTGCAGCGCATCCTCTCGATGCAGGAGGTCATGGGCGCGTGGATCGAAGGCGTCAAGGACGTCATGGAGCCGACGCTCATTTTGACGCTGGCGTGGGCCCTCGGCGCCGTCATTGGCGAAGTCCAGACCGCGGGGTAGGCTCGTTATCGCTTGGATGAGGCGGTGAGAGTTCATTAGGTACATTGCGTCGACGCTGCACGGGCAGATCGCGCCGGGGTACCTCCCCGCGATTGCAAGCGTCCTCTGCTGCGTCGTGTCGTTTGCGACCGGCACGTCGTTTGGCACGATGGCCATCATGCTGCCGATCGTACGTCGCCCTCTGTATGAGAAAGGACAGACGCTAAGAACTATGTCCTAGATTTGCCCGCTGTCGTTTAAGGTCTCGGGCCAGGACGCGGCCAACTTGATGCAGTGCATTGGTGCCGTCCTCGGGTCCTCGGTCTTTGGCAACGCGTGCTCGCCGATCGCCGACACGTCGATTATCACGGCGCTCAGCGTCAACATGCCGCTCCAAAACCACGTCGAGAGCATCCTCCCGTACGCGCTTGTTGTTGCCGGCACGTCGAGCGTCGGGACGCTGCTCCTCGGCGCCCATGTCGTCACGACCTTTACGGCCTTCGCGCTCTGCTTCGTGACGCTGCTTTGCCTCGTCGCGTTCTGCGGCTCACGCGTGCCGTCGCGCTTCCGGAGCAGCTCGAACGCGTCGTCGGTGCTGAGCCTCTCGCCCTCGCACCGGTAGGTCGTCGATTCGATCCAGGCTTTCAACGTGTGGAACTAGGTACAGCTTTCTCAGCACCGTGTCGCCGCCCGCGTCGCGGGAACAAGACCGGCTGCTCCCGCCGACCACGGCGCCACCATCGTCGAGCTCGAGCGTTCTCGACTACGTCCACAAGCTCTTTCCGTCGACCAAGCCCTCGGAGAAGAAGACGCCGTCCGCGTGAGCGTCCTGCTAGCAGTGTATCGTCCCTAGCAAGTAGCAAAACGAATAGATGGACTCCTGTCGACATTGCGTCTAAACATCGTGTACAACGTCGGTTGTAGCTCAAGTTAAGGCGGCGACTCTCCCGGTGGCTTGAACGACGTACCGAGGCCGGTCTCATCGCCAGGGCTCTGCACAACGACGACCGCGCGGCTCTTTTTTTGCAAGAGGTGTGACGGAACCGTGGGAAGGCCCATGCCTTCATGCCACGGCTGCGGCGCTTGCGGCCGGGCAGGGGCCAGTGGCGCAGGCGCAATGGCCGGCCTGTCTTCGGGGAACGTAACGTAGAAAAGCGGGTTGAAATGGCGGCAGCGAAAGGTGTAGCCCACGCCAAGTACAAAGATGAGGTACAACAGCTCTTGGACGACGGGAATGAGTGCGAGAAGCGGCGCGGGGAAGAGGCGGTTCACGATCAAGTCGACAGCGACCACGGCCATGAAGTAGAGAAGGACGTAGCGGCGAAACGCAGCAAACATGCGCAGTTTCGTGTACACGGGCGTCGTCTCGGGCGCAATGAAGGCGCGCGCGACGAGGTCCATCTGCACGCGGAGGATCGCAATGTTGAACGCCGAGTGAAACCAAATCCTACCTCGCTCAAATGAGTGCTACACCAAACCGAGGGTCTTACATGTAGGCAAGAAGGGCCCACGAGACCGTCCACATCAGAAAGATGACGAGCGAGATGGACGCGGACGTTTGAACGATCGTGAGCGTCGCGGCCCAGACGAGGGACACCACGCGGTAGTGCATCGACTGCTGCACCGACACGTCGTCGCGCGTGATGCGCCAGCCGTGCGCGATGAGGAGCGTTTCGTGCGCCGCAAACATGAGCGAGATGACGCGGCACGTGGCCGTAGCATTAAAGAGCAGTGGCTTTGGGGTCTGGTTCAAGCTCACGGTGGCCATGACCATGTAGAGCCACTACAGACACTCAGACCTCGCAGCGGTGATGGAAGTACCTCCGCCGTGGGCACCACGAGCATGCGTCGCTGGAGCATCGTGAACGTTTCTCGAAAGTAAATGATGTTGGCGACCCACGCCGCGGTGCAGGCCGACCAGAGCAGCACGAGCGCAATGTAGAATGACCGCAGCGGCACCGTGGCGTCACCAAAGCACACGCTGTGGCTGTCGCACACCGCGAGGTCAAAGGCCGAGACGATGACGGGAGCGACGGGTGGCACAAGGCCGAGAACACCACAGGCATCGAGGACAAAGACAATCCCCGTCGTAGCGTCAATACCTACAGGACCTTAGCGCAGCTACGTACGCAAGCGACGTACTGGGTACAAGCACCTTGGAGAGCGTGAGCGCGCCCGTGTAGTAGGCTGCCTTTGTGACGTCGGGTATGAGGGGGTACGTTTCGCACGTGGACGCGAACGTATTGATGGCGCACGCAGAGGCAAGGTTTCCAAATGCATTTGGTGGGCAAACGTGCATCACGAGAAGGTTGGCCGAGCTTGGGCGTACGGTCGGAAGACTTGCATTGAGAGTTGCCGTGAAGACTCCGCCCAGCGCCACCTGCGACGCGTTGAGCGACCCGAGCACGCTCACGTATGCCCTGACTGTGGCACCGGCGGCCAGCGCTACCGCTTGAACCATTATCGAAGTGTATAAACCACGAAAATAGCAATTTGATTGCCAGCGGTTACGACTTTGCACTTGGCTTGGCCATGCTGAGGCCGAGGCTTGTGGCGTCGGCAGGCCCTTGAACGATGACGCGGCGGGGACTTGCTTGCGGCGGTGGCCCCTCGATGCCATCTATCGGAGCTCATTGAAAAGGCAAGGAGAGGGCGCGTACCACCGGCGGGGAGGATGAAGGTTGCGTCATGAAACTTGCGGCAGCGAAAGAGGGTGGCTATCGCAATGCAAAAGCCCAAGTACAAAAGCTGTAGCGCGGCAGCAATGAGACCCTTCATCGTCAGCGGCAAAAAGAGCGACAAGCCCAAGTCGACAGCGCACACGATTGCGCAGTAGCCCAAAACAGCGATGCGCAGTGCGAGAAAGAGCCGCAGCTTGATGTAGACGGGTGTCGTCTGCGGGTTGACAAAGAACCCGCTTATGAGCACGAGCTGGACGTTGAGCGTGCGCAGGGTGACCCGCACGTCGTGGAGGATCCTATTGATGATGGAGGGGGGAGATCTTTCGTGGTAGATGGTGCTGCCGTACATGTAGAAGAAGCACATCCAGAGGAAGACCCAGCTGACGCCATCAAAGAGGGAGACGTGGGTGTGGAGCGAGAGAAGCGTGAACGAGATGCCGAACGAGAGGCCGAGCGTCGCGATCTGCGCATACTGCAGCGGGCGCAAGTCGTTGCGCGTGATCTTGGCACCATGCGAGAGCAAGATCAGCTCGTTGGCGGCGACGGCAAGCGAGAGGGCACGGGCGCCTAGGGTCAGAAAGGCCAAGCGGGAGTCGCTCGACGATACGTCGTTCCACGCGGTGAGTGCCATGTACACCATCTACAGAGTTGCGACTACCAAAACACTGAAAATACAAGCACCTCGGCGATTGGCACCAGCAGCATGCGACGCTGGAGGCTCACGTGCGTCGCGGGATGCAGCAGAATGTGCGTCGACCACACGAGGACGACAAGCGCCCAGAGCAGCGCAAAGGCACCATGCAGCCATACCATGGGCAAAAACCTGCCGTCTACAAGGCAAATGTAGTTGCCAGGGCAGTACAGCCATGTGTAGCTGCCGCGCACGGCGATGCGCTGCGCTCCAAACTCGCAAAAGTCCAAGAGCAGCACGTAGCTCATCTCCGAGGCGTACGGCGCCGCGCCTTTTGGGTCCGCTGTTGCCGCGACGTCAAGAACTGCGTGATAAAGTCCCCGAGTGCTGACGGCAGCGTCGAGCGTGTACGCGTCGCAGTCGGTGGTGAGCGGAACCGAGCCGTTGCAGACCCCGCTATCGAGCACAAGAAGGTTCGATGCGTTGTACGATGGCAGACTGCGAAAGATAGAGCTGCCGCAGACGCGCACGTGCATCGACGCGTTGTTTCGTGGCGGCGCGTCCAGAAACACCTCAATGTGCAGTGCGTAGGCGTCCACGTCGAGCGATTGGGACGAGGTAAAGACGCGCAGCTGCAGCGCACTGGTCGTGGCAACAGCGAACGAGGCGTTCACAGGTCGCTGGCTGTGCACCGAGACCGCAGCTGCGAAGAGCACGCCCACGAGTCGACTCATACCTCGCATTGCGGTGTGCTTACCAGTAGAAAGGCCCATCTCATACGCTATATTTTTAGAGCAGCACTTTAATGAGGTTAGGGTTATGCTGTACTAGTACATTTCGCTTCTGTCGTTGTGGGAAGTCATGCCTGTATAGCAGGTATTCTCAGTTGGAGTCGTGAATTGGGTGGATGGAGGTGCCGAGACTCGTAGTGTTCGTGGGTCCTCGGATGACAATCGCCTTGGTGGCATTCGCAGCTACAAACCAAACTCGTGTCACACGATATAGCCCACTCGATGCATATCGTACGTAGGGCGGGGGCAACCGCAATGGTCGACGGGGGCAGCGAGGTAAAGATGGCCGTCGTGGCAGGTCGGCAGCGCAAGATGAATCCGAGACGCACCCAGAGCCCGAGAAACAACACCTCCAAGGCGACCGGCGCGAGGTTCGTTAGCATCAGCGGAAGCTGGCTGAGCCCAATGCACACGGCAACTACAACCAGCGGGTAGTAACAGAGGCTCCACCCAACGCGCACAAAAAGCCGCAGCTTTCGGTGCGCGGGTGTGACCTCAACGTTGGTGAACGACGTGGCTACGGCCGCGACTTGTCTGCTCATGATTTCGATGTTGACAAGCAGGTCCTTTGCGAGCCTATTATTGCACGCGATGAGCAGCGCAGCCATGCGATACGGACACACAAGAAGACAAAACCGAGCCACAACACGACCCAGATAAAGTCGAGGACAAGTCGCATCGCCCCTGGAATCGTGGTCGAGAGCAAGCTCAT